TGCATGTACATATACTAATATTTCGTGACTCACTCAGAGCCATTTGTAAATACTTGACCTAGTACTGTGATGTTTTAATGAGAAATGGTAAAAGCATTCTACTCATATTGCAAAATATGAGAAGGTGGATTTAAGTGATTATTATGATTATTAATAAATTAAATAGAAACAAAGAAAATTCCTTTTCCTCTCCAAGTGAAGACCCCTAGACGTACTAAGTTTATTATTCTGTTACGAAAAGCACTATAACCCAGGGACCAACTGACTATGTTCGTAACAGTATAAAGATACACAACATATCCCTCCAAACTGCCAATATCCCAAACCCCTCCTTTAAAGTGCAGGCAGTGTACTTCCCATTTCCAAGACTCAAGTCCGGCTATATAAAAATAAGATATTATTTATTTTTTTTTTTTATTATCACACTGGCCGATTCCCACCAAGGCAGGGTGGCCCGAAAAAGACAAAATTTCACCATCATTCACTCCATCACTGTCTTGCCAGAAGGGTGCTTTACACTACAGTTTTTAAACTGCAACATTAACACCCCTCCTTCAGAGTGCAGGCACTGTACTTCCCATCTCCAGGACTCAAGTCCGGCCTGCCGGTTTCCCTGAACCCCTTCATAAATGTTACTTTGCTCACACTTCAACAGCACGTCAAGTATTAAAAACCATTTGTCTCCATTCACTCCTATCAAACACGCTCACGCATGCCTGCTGGAAGTCCAAGCCCCTCGCACACAAAACCTCCTTTACCCCCTCTCTCCAACCTTTCCTAGGCCGACCCCTACCCGCCTTCCTTCCACTACAGACTGATACACTCTTGAAGTCATTCTGTTTCGCTCCATTCTCTCTACATGTCCGAACCACCTCAACAACCCTTCCTCAGCCCTCTGGACAACAGTTTTGGCAATCCCGCACCTCCTCCTAACTTCCAAACTACGAATTCTCTGCATTATAATCACACCACACACATTGCTCTCAGACATGACATCTCCACTGCCTCCAGCCTTCTCCTCGCTGCAACATTCATCACCCATGCTTCACACCCATATAAGAGCGTTGGTAAAACTATACTCTCATACATTCCCCTCTTTGCCTCCAAGGACAAAGTTCTTTGTCTCCACAGACTCCTAAGTGCACCACTCACTCTTTCCCCTCATCAATTCTATGATTCACCTCATCTTTCATAGACCCATCCGCTGACACGTCCACTCCCAAATATCTGAATACATTCACCTCCTCCATACTCTCTCCCTCCAATCTGAAATTCAATCTTTCATCGCCTAATCTTTTTGTTATCCTCATAACCTTACTCTTTCCTGTATTCACCTTTAATTTTCTTCTTTTGCACACCCTACCAAATTCATCCACCAATCTCTGCAACTTCTCTTCAGAATCTCCCAAGAGCACAGTGTCATCAGCAAAGAGCAGCTGTGACAACTCCCACTTTGTGTGTGATTCTTTATCTTTTAACTCCACGCCTCTTGCCAAGACCCTCGCATTTACTTCTCTTACAACCCCATCTATAAATATATTAAACAACCACGGTGACATCACACATCCTTGTCTAAGGCCTACTTTTACTGGGAAATAATTTCCCTCTTTCCTACATACTCTAACTTGAGCCTCACTATCCTCGTAAAAACTCTTCACTGCCCTCAGTAACCTACCTCCTACACCATACACTTGCAACATCTGCCACATTGCCCCCCTATCCACCCTGTCATACGCCTTTTCCAAATCCATAAATGCCACAAAGACCTCTTTAGCCTTATCTAAATACAGTGGTCCCTCAATAATCGTCCATAATCCGTTCCTGGAAGTGGGACTATTACCGAAATGGACGATTTTCGAATCAATTTTCCCCATAAGAAATAATGTAAATCCAATTAATTCGTTCCAGACACCTAGAAGTATCAATAAAAAAATTTTTTTTTACCTAAAAGATAGATTTACATGCACAAAAGAATGAACATTCAACATGACAGTTACCTTTATTGAAGGCTGTTTTTGATGAATGGAAGACAGGGAGGAGGAGAGAGGAAAGAGAGGTTATTTGGAAGGGGTATCCCCCTCCATAAGGACTCTAGGGCACTAATAAAATGTATAAATGAACATTGGTAATAGGGGTAGTTGATGAGTGGAATGGTCTGCCTAGTAGGGTGATCGAACCTAAAACATTGGGTAGTTTCAAATTTAGGTTGGATAAATACACAAATGAGAGGGCTTGGATTTGAGTCGGACTTGCACATGAGCTTATTGCTTGGGTAGCATTTGTTCTGTTAGTGGGTTGGATTTGTGAAGGACCGGCCTAGTATGGGCCAACAGGCTTATTGCAGTGTTCCTCCTTTCCAATGTTCTAAAAGCTATGGCTTGGGTAGTTTCAAATTTAGGCTGGATAAATACACAAGTGAAAGGGGTTGGATTTGAGTCGGACTTGCACCTGAGTTTATTGCTTGGGTAGCATTTGTTCTGATAAATTAGGCACATGTGCAACTCTTGGGTATCTTTATTGAGGAAACATTTCGCCACACAGTGGCTTCATCAGTCCATACAAAGGAGAATCTTGAAGAACGGGAGGAGAATGAGGTAATCAGTCCCTCAACCTTGAGTCGATGTGGTCAGTCCATCAATCTTGAATAGAATACGGCATACGTGCGGAGAAGGAGCTTATAAACCGTTGGTAGGAGAGGTGCAGCAGTCATAGGCGGTGACACCGCCGTATTCTATTCATCCAATTCATCCCACTAACGAAACATTTTCCCAACCCAGTCCTCAGTGCTACCCAAGAAATAAGCTCTGATAACTCTATCCACTCATTTGCAAGTCCCAAATGAGTGGATAGAGTTACCAGAGCTTTTTTCTTGGGTAGCATTGAGGACTGGGTTGGGAAAATGTTTCGTTAGTGGGATGAATTGTAAAGGACCTGCCGAGTATGGGCCAACAGGCCTGCTGCAGTGATCCTCCTTTCTTATGTTCTTATGTTCATCAACCACTAACACAACTGCTTCCACTCTACCACCACCATCTTTGTATTTTCTACAAACTTTTTCATAAATTATGTGCTTCTCACATTCTTTACCAAAGGGCTGGCACTAGAAGCTTTATTTGGAGCCATGGTAGCTTATTTAGCACTTGCAAGCACTAAAATCAATGGAATATTATGAAATATTTCGTAGGAGCATGTGAGTGGACCGTCACTCACTGGTAAACAATTGCACACTGGCTGGGAAAGAAAGGCCGAGGCGGCTCAGAGCGTGAGTACGCGTCCAGGACGAAGGACTATTAGGACTATTAGCGAGTTACCAGACCATTTGCGAGCCAATATTTTGACGAAAAAACAGGACTATTTCCGAAATGGACGACTTTCAAGCCGGACGATTATTGAGGGACCACTGTACTGTTCACTTATATGTTTCACTGTAAACACCTGGTCCACACACCCCCTACCTTTCCTAAAGCCTCCTTGTTCATCTATCCTATTCTCCGTCTTACTCTTAATTCTTTCAATTTTAACTCTACCATACACTTTACCAGGTATACTCAACAGACTTATCCCCCTATAATTTTTGCACTCTCTTCTATCCCCTTTGCCTTTATACAAAGGAACTATGCATGCTCTCTGCCAATCCCTAGGTACCTTACCCTCTTCCATACATTTATTAAATAATTGCACCAACCACTCCAAAACTATATCCCCACCTGCTTTTAACATTTCTATCTTTATCCCATCAATCCCGGCTGCCTTACCCCCTTTCATTTTACCTACTGCCTCACAAACTTCCCCCACACTCACAACTGGCTCTTCCTCACTCCTACAAGACGTTATTCCTCCTTGTCCTATACACGAAATCACAGCTTCCCTATCTTCATCAACATTTAACAATTCCTCAAAATATTCCTTCCATCTTCCCAATACCTCTAACTCTCCATTTAATAACTCTTCTCTCCTATTTTTAACTGACAAATCCATTTGTTCTCTAGGCTTTCTTAACTTGTTAATCTCACTCCAAAACTTTTTCTTATTTTCAACAAAATTTGTTGATAACATCTCACCCACTCTCTCATTTGCTCTCTTTTTACATTGCTTCACCACTCTCTTAACCTCTCTCTTTTTCTCCATATACTCTTCCCTCCTTGCATCACTTCTACTTTGTAAAAACTTCTCATATGCTAACTTTTTCTCCCTTACTACTTTACCAATCGCTCCTCTTCCCTCCCGCACCCACTTTCCTGTAACCACAAACTATCAAATATATCTTTACCAAAAACATAAATGTATAAGAAAACCCCAGACCTGGTAGGAGTGTTGAAATGTTGAGTAATAAGTATTAATACAATGTAGTTTGATAAATTAGACACACGTGCAACTCTTGGGTATCTTTACTGAGGAAACGTTTCGCCACACAGTGGCTTCATCAGTCCATACGAAAGGAGAAACTTGAAGAACAGGAGAAGAGTGAGGTAATCAGTCCCTCAACCTTGAGTCAATGTGGTCAGTCCATCAATCTTGAATAGAATACAGCACATCCGTGGAGAAGCAGCTTATAAACCACATAGGCAGGAGAGGTGCAGCAGTCGTAGGTGGTGTCACATTTGTCCAATGTGGAAGTAGGTCGTGCCCAAGGGTTAGGCAAGCGAAGAACCTACTTCCACATTAGACAAACGTGACACCACCTACGACTGCTGCACCTCTCTTGTCTATTGTTTATAAGCTGCTTCTCCATGCATATGCCGTATTCTATTCAAGATTGATGGACTGACCACATCGACTCAAGGTTGAAGGACTGATTACCTCACTCTCCTCCTGTTCTTCAAGTTTCTCCTTTGTATGGACTGATGAAGCCACTCTGTGGTGAAACGTTTCCTCAATAAAGATACCCAAGAGTTGCACGTGTCTAATTTATCAACGTGTCGTTTCTCTGAACCATTCATCTACAACAATGTAGTTTATCCAATATTATTGTTAAACAAATAATTGGTTGCCTCACATACCGTATTGGGGTCCTGTGTAGGATTTGTATTCTTGGGTCGTAAAGATTTAACTGGAAGTGGACAGGAGCTCCCACTAGCTCCTATCACAGTGCAGCTGGTATTTCCTAATGTAGTCAGCAGAAGGCTAGTCAATGGTGGTATACTTTTATGGCTTGAAGAATGACTAACTGGAGATGAAGCTGGAGCAAATGCCAAGCTAACATGTTGGCCCACAGATCCCAAACTACTTTCTATGCTTGTACCTGATGCTTTTTCATGGCAGCCTGTATTTCCACTCTGAAATTTTAAAATTAAATTGTTGACCTTCATATGATTAGAATTCACGTTTATCTACAACATGCCGGTTTTCTATAAACAGTATTTAAATTATGATATGCAACACATGCTCCTTAAATCAAACATTTTGAATGCCTCAAATAATTGAAATAGAAAGGCCACCCCAAAACTTAAGAGAAATGAATTCTCTAGGTAAATAATATGAACCAAGTCAGCAGTACCTAGCATCAGAATACCATGGTTTAAACATTATTTGTAGATCATACAGTTTCAGTAAAGAATGCTGTTTTGCATAAAAAAAAGTTCCTCTTGCCATATCATGGATATGTAACCCATGTTAAAACAAACTAAAACAAAATACATTTTCCCAGACACAGTCTTGCATATCATTTTGTTACAGTATTACTATATTTTTCTTTGGCTACTACAGTCTCAAATTCATGATTTTTTTTTTTTTTTTGTTTATGCTTGTTTGGAATAGGTATGGCAAGCTCCTAGTAATTTAGTAAGGAAATGTGGCTTACATTTTTACTGATGCTAAAGGTTCAGTACAACTTAAGCTGTTGGTGACTTTGTACTCTAACGAAAAGGCAGCAGCTGATACTGCCTCACATTTTTGTAATCAATATTTTTTCTTTGGTTTGCCTTTATCCACTGCATTTATCTTCTGTACATGTTTGGTAGAGGCAAATTCCTACACACTTGGTACAATTTAGCAAGAAAATCTGGGTTTTATATTTACATTTGTTAACATGTAGTATGTGCAATGATAAGTGTCACTACAGTTAAGCCTCTCATTAACAGATTTCAGTAATTTTGAACACGAAAATTGGTTAGACAACGCTTTATCAGACAAAATGGACCAAAAGTCTGTAACTCCTCATTTTGTCCACAGCAATAAGAGTCCAGCTGTCTTCTGAAATATTGGGCTACATCCACTAACTCCAACATTTGTTCAGTACAAGATAAAATGGCCATGTCCAGGACCTGATGTTTATTTGGTATGAGCCAAAACAACCATATCTAAGACCTGTCTGTTTTCAGTGTTCCACAGACCATAAACCTGTGCTCATCATTTAGTCCACAATTTTCCCTGGATTTAGAGCATTTTGTGTGACTTTACTAACACATTAAGTAAAGTGCAATTAATGATGACTTCTAAAGCAAGTAGTGGTGCTAATACAAAACATGTGATTCTCAGTGTTAGTAAGAAACTGAATAAATAAAGGAGGTTAGAGTCTGGCATCTCAATGGCACATATATGTGAGGAATAGTGTGTTAAGAAACAGTGTCTGATACCCTTAGAAGTAAGGATAAACTTACAGCCTATGCTCTTAAATTTATTGCAGATGCTAGTCATAAAGGTACTACAGTTAGTCCTAGAAAGCATATGAAAAGGGCCCATGATAAAAACCTTGAAGCAGTGCATAAATGGTATGATCAACACTGTTTTGTTTGCATTTATGGTGTTGATCATTACTCTGCTACTCATATCCTGCATTATTAAAATCAAAATTAAGTGCTAAACCACCAAGGTCATACAGCACTCCAGGGTAGGGGTTGTAAGCTCAGTAAAGAGTGCTAAAGGAAGTACAGTATAATCAAAGATTGTGTAATTAATATGTTGCTGTCAAAAAGTCAAAGAGGGAGTCTGTGTCAAGGGTGGGACACAGACAGACACAGACAAGGGTGGGACATAGACTCCCGTCAACGAGGAAGGAAGATAAAGTAAGGGTGTTAAGAGTGGTGTCAATGTCAAAGGTAAATTCTGTGTGCACGCTGATAGAGGGGACAGTCCAACAAAATATGGCACACTGAAATAGGAGCCTAACAATTCAAACAGAATAGAACTGGGCACCTCTCCATGTGATACCCAGAAGAGGACTGGATCTTAAAACTGACCCGGGCATCTGTCACCAATCAGGTTGGCTCGCGACTCATCACTATCCTCCAACTTAGTTTTGTGTAATCCGACTATAAATTAATCGATGAGAGCAGTAATTAAGTGCAGGAAGCTAGCAGCAGCACAACTTACCTCAATTCAACCGCTGCCAGTGTGACACTAACAGACTGCTGAGGGCCAGAGGCGTGTTTTCACTGCTCAGCTAAGATGTGTTCCATTTTCGTTTCAATCTTTGTGCAGTGACTATGACTTCAGTTTTTCATGACTTTTTTTTTTTTTTTCTTTTTTACCCAGCCCAGCAGCAAACTGGGCATTGCCCAAATGCCTGTATGGCCAGTCCGCCTCTGGTGACCCATGCGTGAGATGTGTGTGCCTGATGCAAGACAAGAAAGCTTAGTCTCCCAACCACAGCACTGATGATAAGACAACAACCAACAGTGTAACTTGTTACAAATCGATTCAGACCATTGTTGTTGCCAACAGTTTTGAAGGTGGCTAGAGGTTACAGCAAAATAATCTGAGGACGGAATACCTTTATATAAAACTGGAAGGTCATGTACTGCTGACCGTGCAGCAGTCTGCCTGCTCATTGCCCTGAACATCAACATGCTTAGGTATGCAGCAGAAAACGATTTCTTTGTTTTTGCTTGAAATGCGATGCAACCAAACTGTATATGAAGAACTATGGATGAGGCGAATTAAATTTTTTAATAGCTTGTAAAGCACTAAAGGAGTCCAAGACTACCACAAATGATGGGGTAGGCCTGGACACAATACAGATAATCACTATGAGAATTGCATACAGTTCAGCTGTAAAGATGCTAGACGAGTCTAAAAAATGACCTTGTACAACACTGTCCAGGAACACTGCTACAAACCCGACATTATCAGAAGATTTACAACCATCAGTGTAAACTGCAACAGCCCGAGAATGAGACCAGAAGTGGTTAAGAAAAAGGGAGTGAGAAGCCACTGAGTATTTGAGCTTTTGCACATGGCAGTGAGGAAGAACAGACACAAACTGTTGGAACCTCCCAAGGGGTGAGAGAAAAGTTAGATGCTAGATGAACATATAAAGGAGGCAACTGAAAAGAAACCAAAAGTGAAGACGAAGAGAAAAGGTACAAAGTAAACAGGAGCGGTGAACAAATAATGGACCTCTATTAACATCCGTTACTATTCTGTCCATAGAAGAATCGTGAAGGTCATGAGCGTGGACAAAATAATGGAGGCAATATTCAGGGATGGAACATTCACCTCTGCATATAGGCTCTTGATGGGAGAGGAGGAAAAGCACCTAAACATAAACAATCTCTAATGATGGATGGGATCAAGTTTAGAAAGAGTTGCCAGAGAGGTCGCAGAATATATCTGGTCACCACAGTCTAGTTTTGATAAAATTAGGGCTGAATGCAGTCAAAGGAGTTTGACAATCCACCCCCAAGAAAGATGAGCAAGTGTTTTAAGGAGGTTCAGCCAGCTATAGCAAGTTGCTTTCAGGGAGGAATTTGTATTGATAAAGCCACTGGATGGCGAAACGTCTACAATAAAGGTACCCGGATATTGCACATGTGTCTCAGTTTTCATCATCTTGTCAGTATAGTGTACCATACGGTCAGATTTCTTGCCAAGAAATCTGACCGTATCGTGTTCAGGGATATGGGAGCCATATAGGTTCAATGGAGTATCAGACAACAGAACGTCTGATGAAAGTAATTTGGTGCATTTCAGTATCAGAAAATTTAAGCCCATGCATAGTGGCCCAATGGGAAACACAGTTGACAGCATTCTGGAGTGAGGCTGCTACTAGGCGACAGTCAGTGCCTGCACAAGCTATAGCAAAGTCATCGACAAAGTGATGACCAAAAATTAGATGGAAGAACAGAGGCCAGATCATTTATAGCAAGGAGAAAAGGAGTGGTGCTAAGGACACATCCCTGTGGGACACTTTCAGCTTGGACAAAGTCCAGGGAAAGCAAATTATTGATTCGAACATCAAAATGTCTCTCAGATAAGAAGTTTTTAAGGATAAGTTGTAGACTGCCTTGGAGGCCTAATGAATGAGCTTGCACCAAATTGTTTTATCTCCCAGTAGTGTTATAAGCCTTTTCAAGATCAAAAAAGACTTCAATAATTGAGTGGTTACTAGCAAAGTCATTACAAATGTAGGTTATCTAAGTAGAGTAAGGGGTCAACAGTGGAGCAGCCATTATGAAAGCCAGACTAGTGGAGAGGCTGTTGTCTCTCTCAATACCACACAGAGCATTTACTTACTAGACATTCCATCAACTTGCCAACTGCACTGATAAGAACAATGGGACGATAGTGAGAGGCATCATGGCCCAAAGTACCTAGTTTACAAAAGGGCAGAACAACGTCAGTTTTCCACAGCTGGGGAAAAACCCCTTGCAACCAAATAAGATTAAAAAGATGTAAGAGGACTGGAAAGACTGACAGATGTAAATGCTGAAGCATACAAATACGAATGCCATCAGGCCCAGCTGCTGACAATCAGCAAGCAGAAAGTGTTGACTGATTCTAGAAGCGTAAAAGGAACATTATAAGACTCTTCCCTGCTAGAAGAAAAGTCTAAAGGCAGTAACCCAATGGCAGACTTGGAGGGAAGAAACAAGGGGCATAGATGGAGCCCCTGAGAGATACGGACAAGATGATTTCCAAATTCTATGGCAACTTCAAGAGGGCTTGCTACAATGATACTGGCAACCCTAAGAACCGGAGCCAGGTCTGGAGAGTATCTGCTATTCGATTTCTGTACTTTTTTCAAAAATGCCTTCACAGAGGAAGTTGAAGTGATGGTAGACATATAATCCTATCAAATGTGTTTAGCTTCTCGGATGGCACGTTGGGCACCTGTCCTTGCCCGTTTAAAATCAAAGAGTCACTCTATATTCCCATTATAATGATATAGGCCCCATGTAGCACATTTCAAATGCACTGCATGAGCACAAGTAGACCACCAAGGCACACATTTCTGAGGGGTGCCTACCTGAGGTTTGAGGGACTGTATTTGAGGCTGTGGTTAAAATCGAGGACAAAAATAGTCTGACACAAGTAAATGGCCCAATTCACCCATTCA